AATCTCTTCTCTTCTTCTTGCCCCTAAAGCATTCCGACATTGCCTAGCCCACTATTTAAGATCTGTGCCAGGGCCAAACCAAACATGACGGCATCCTTGTAACTGCCACGATGATGCCATGGCCATTTTAATACATTTTAAAATGCTGCAAGGACAATGATGTGTTAAGATTTGGGATTATTGAATAGCAGATAAAATATCAGACTGGGTTGCTCAACAAGATAATATAGAGGATTTTCACAGTTCAGTGGCCAAATGGACTACTTTTATAGAGGCACGAAAGGTCTTTATACCCAGTACTCCAAGTTCAGGATGGGCAGACCACAATTCTTTGTGTGTGTTCTTTTTATACAAGAAGTGAGTTAATATGGCCATTGATATGGGAGTATCTGATAAAAACAGTAAATTTTCATGGAAGTATTATAAATGTATAAGTCTAAGCAGATTGATTTACCCTATATTTTGTATCTAGAAGTTGTTTGAAGTTTTCCATAAGATGAGGTTGTTAATTGTTGTAAATTATACATACATTTATTGCGTGTTCATGGAGCTGCGGTGGCTCAAGTGGTTAAGACGCTGAACTGCAGGCTGTGGAAGGTCAGTAGTTCAGCAGTTCGAGACCCGAGTGTGCCGCATGACAGAGTGAGCTAGTTCCAGCTCCTGCCAACCTAGCAGTTCGAAAGCAAGAAATTGCAAGTAGATAAATAGGTACCACTACAGTGGGAAGGTAACAGCGTTCCGTGCGCCTTGGTGTTTAGTCATGCCGGCCACATGACCACGGAAACGTCTTCAGACAGCGCTGGCTCTTCGGCTTTGAAACGGAGATGAGCACCGCAACCCTAGAGTCGGATTCGACCAGCTTTCGAGCAAGGGAATCTTTACCTTTACCTTTATCATGTTCATGAGACTGTTTCTAATTTACCCCATGCCTGTGTTTGTGTGTTGTGGGCAACAGCAGGTGGGTCTTAAATCATCATGCACTCCACATGAGCAGGGAGGGGAACAGGGAAAAGCCAAGGGCGTGACCAAGCCTAGTGCAAACTTCGTCTGTGCCAATGTGTATTCAACCACAGTTAAACTGGATGTTTGAACGCAGCCGGTACGTGAGGCAGGCTATTTGCAGGTATAGCTGTTGCTAACTGGAAACAATCCCCGTGATTGCAGTGACTGGCAGGGCTCTTTTTGTAGCAGGTACTCATTTGCATATTAAGCGACTGTATAGAAATATTGCTTTCTATAGGCTTCATGTCTTCCCTGAAATGTCTTTCTGATACCTTGTTTCCTGTTACAAGCCAGATGGCTGACCATTTGGTCAGAGAGGCTCAATAGCCTGCCATATAACTACATAGTCTTCACACTTCTAGTAGGGAAATCTAGACCTGATGGCGCCTGGCTAATCCTCCAAGAGCTTACAGTAGCTCCTGTAAGAAGAGCAGCTAGACCTGATGGCGCCTGGCTGTGCCTCGACACCCCCCCTAATGTAGCCAATCCTCCAAGAGCTTACAGTAGCTCCTGTAAGAAGAGCTCTGTAAGCTCTTGGAGGATTGGCTACATTAGGGGTGTGTGGCCTCATATGCAAAGGAGTTCCTGCTACAAAAACAGCCCTGCTGTGAGCTGTTGGAATAATGGAAATTGCCGCTTGAAAGGTACATTCAGCTCTGGTTGCACATCCCATTCCTGGGGACAACACTGGCCTGCAATATGGAAAAGGCTTGGTGCGCATGAATGAGGGGGGGGGAGAGATCTTCTGGAAATGTCCTTTGTCTATACACCATTTCCGAATAATTTTGCCCAATCCAAGATCGGTCACCGCAAGTTTCCAGTGCCACTGAAGTGCTTCTTTGAATTGCAGAGATATCAGAGCCTGGCTACTTGGGAGAGAACCTCAGTTTCAAGCAGCGTGTTTCCGAGAATAAAATATGTAAAGAAAGCGAACATGTAAAGAAAATACTAGAGACTCTGCCGGAAGTTTCTGTATCCTCCATCACGATGGAGTCGTCAGCCACAGAGATTCCATACCAAGTTCGGAAGCTACCTTGTAAGGTACCTCTCCGTTCCATCGTCTCGTTGCTTTTAGATTCTCCTTAGACCCGTCCACAGGATTTGGCCGCCAATTCCACATCACTGCCCTGCTACCTTTTGTGGCCAGACTCTCTCCCACGTCCTTTCATCTTGCAGATGCTGCGTTTCCCTATTCTCCTGGTAATCGGATCTCGAATTCTGCATCGATCCCACCCACCCCCCACCTGTTTATGCACTGGCAACTGGGGGAACTATATATGATGAAGGAGGAATGGCTCTGATTCAGTGGAAAAGGCTCTGCTTTTCACGCAGAAGGTCCCAAGTTCAGTCCCAGATCCATTTCAAGGTGCTGGTACTTACCTTTAAAGTCCTATAACGGCCAGGGGTCAGAATGCCTTCGGGACCACCGAGCACTGAGATCTACAAATCAACACCCTTTTGTAGTCCCCGGCCCCAGGGATGTCCGACTCGCCTTGACTAGGGCCAGGGTTTTTTCGGCCCTGGCCCCTACCTGGTGGAACGAGCTCCCGTATGAGATCAGGGCCCTGCAGGATTTATTACAATTCCACGGGGTCTGTAAGACAGAGCTCTTCCGCTGGGCTTTTAGTTGAGGCAGTGGGTATCCCCCCCTGCCCACATCTGATTGGCCTCCCATCAGTGTCCTGAACTTGAACAACCATCTGGGAACCATACCACTGTTTTTAGCTACTGAGTTATTAACTAGATTCTGCATGGTATTTTAGGATTGTATGATTATTTTAATCTTGTTTTAAATTGGTGTTAACTGTCATCGTATATTGTTTTAACACTAATGGAACCCACCCGGAGCCTGCTTGCGGGGTGGGCGGGATACAAATTTAATAAATAAATAAATCCTAAGTAAAAAGAGTCAAGTAGACAAGAGTCAAACTGAGAGCCAGTTTGGTGTCGTGGTTAAGTGCGCGGACTCTAATCTGGGAGAACCGGGTTTGATTCCCCACTCCTCCACTTGCACCTGGCTGGATGACCTTGGGCAAGCCATAACTCTGGCACAGCTGTTCTTGAAAAAGAGCAGTCTCTGTCAAGAGCTCTCTCAGCCCCGCCTACCTCACAGGGTGTCTGTTGTGGGGAGGGGAAGGGAAAGGAGTTTGTAAGCCGCTCTGAGACACCTTTGGGTAGTGAAGCGGGGTATAAATCCAATATCTTCTCTTCTTCTAGTACTAAGTAGGTGATGTGAAAGACCTCTGCAAGAGACCCTGGAGAGATGGTGCCAGTCTGAGTAGAAAGTACTGACTTTGACGGACCAGTGCCATCGGGCTTTTCTGCATGCTCATTTTCTTCACTTGTGAGTTCCTGTTCCTTCCGGGAGGGAGGATTCTGTTCCATGTGCTTTGCTCCCTCTAGTGGTCAATTCAGTTTTATATCACTTTATGTCTGGCATAAAAATCTGCTGTTCAAATCCGCAGGGGGATAGGTTGGATACGAACCGATGTAATATCGAATCGAACACTAGAGGGAGCAAAACACATACGGAAAAGAGAGAACTTCTGAAACTACAGGAACACACAACCAAGGAAAACCAGAATGCAGGAAAGCCCATTGATCTAGAAGAGCTAGATTATTGTCCCCCCCACCATCTCCAATCTGTATGTGGAGGAATTACCCGAAGCAGGCATGCATTTGAAGTTAGCCATCCCATGTGTGGGTGAGCTGGCAGCCCTCAACCTGTCACCCTGTGAATGAGCTCTCAAATGTGAGTCTGGGCCTGGGGGGCGAGGAGGGGAGAGCGAAAGCCTGAGACACGGCGATCCTGGAGCAGACTCTCACCCTGTGCCTGCTTACTCAGAAGTAAGCCCCAGAGCGATTAGTGGGGGCTTTCTTCTAAGTAAGGGTGTGGGGGGGTTGCAGTCTTCACATTCTTCATTTTCTAAATTAGACTTTTATGGATGTTTTTGAAATAGTACTAGAATTGAATTGCAGAAACAGTGAAAAGGGAGGGGAGAAATGATAATGGAAAAGAGAAGCTACAAATGTCTGAAAGAAAAGAAAAATTCAGAAGATTCTGAGGGGCGTCAGTTGTGTTCACACAGGGTCTTCTGTTGATTGTCTGCCAGTTTGGTGTAGTGGTTAAGTGCGCGGACTCTAATCTGGGAGAACCGGGTTTGATTCCCCACTCCTCCACTTGCACCTGGCTGGATGACCTTGGGTCAGTCACAAGCTCTGGCACAGCTGTTCCTGAAAGAGCAGTTTGTGTCAGAGTTCTCTCAGCCCCACCTACCTCCCAGGGTGTCTGTTGTGGGGAGGGGAAGGGAAAGGAGTTTGTAAGCCACTCTGAGACGCTGAGTGCAGGGCGGGGTATAAATCCAATCTCCTCCTCCTCCTTCATAGTAATCTAATCAAGACAGAAAGATTTGCATGGCAGAGGAGGTCTCAAAACAGAGATCTTCATTGACAAAAATAATGAAAAAAAACCTTTTTGGCTGGAAAAGTATCTGGTTTGATAGGGATTGCGATCTCATTTTAATGGGAAAGTCAGTTTTCCCAGGGCGGTTTCCCTAATTTGCTTATTTTCCTCTCCCACATTTTATCCTTATAATAACCACCCTGTGATGTAGATCAGGCGGAGAGAGAGACTGATTTCACACAAGAGCTGTGCCGCAGTCGCACCTCCCTTTGCCCCGCTTCTATTGGTTAATTTCCCACTCGAAGCCGTGCAGCCGCGTTTTGACCCGCGGCTCCGCCCGATTTTGCGGTTTCATGATCCTGTTTTTTTGAGGATCATGAAACCGCGGGGAAAATCGGGCGAAGCTGCAGGTCAAAACGCAGCCGCACGGCTTCGAGTGGGAAATTGACAGATAGGAGCAGGGCAAAGGGAGGCGCGACCGCGGCGCAGCTCTTGTGTGAAATCGGTCCGAGTGACCGGCCCAGGATCACCCAGAAAATGGTGCAGGGGAATTTGAACCCGGGTCTCCAAGATCCTAGTCCAACTTCCTAACCATTATATCACGCCAGTGCATGATTGCCGTCGTTAGATTTCTAAATCACCCGAGAATTGAGACGCCCGCCCTATCAGTCCTGTTGAATGCGAACGATTTCCTAGCGGAATGACACCCAGAATCATTTTTCTCCTCCTGTTGCCTCTGCCATTAGAAGCTTAGCCCCTCCCAAAGTTTAGCCTGGAAGAACGACATGTCCAAAAAGGAAAGGGAACAAGACCGCGCTTACCTCAAGAGACTCGATGCCCAGCACAGCTTCCTGAGGAATCCTCGCTTTTTCCTGCCGAACTCGCTTCATGGGGGCAAGTCCCTGATTTTGCCACAGAAGAAGGTGCAGCGCATAATAGCAGGAAAACAAAGGACCGTAGTGGAAAGGTAAGCTGCGCGATAGAAACAGACCTTATTGATATGGCTCTTTTGGTTGCTCATTATCTCAACGTTTCTTACAACGTCCCTGTAAAATAGACCAGTATTATTACATTGCAGAGAGGGGAGCTTGGGGCTTATCTAAGAGGACGAACAGAGCCAGCTTGGCGCAGTGGTTAAGAGTGGCGGGGTCTAATCTGGAGAACCCGGTTTGGTTCCCCACTCCTCCTCCACATGAAGTCGGCTGGGTGACCTTGGGCCAGTCACAGTTCTCTCAGAACTCTCTCGGCCCCACCTGCCTCACTGGGTGTCTGTTGTGGGGAGAGAAAGGGAAGGCGATTGTAAGCCACTCTGAGACTCCTTTCTCTGCTCAGCTGATGCTATCCATTCAGATTGCTTGTCACTCAAGGCTCTCTGTTTCTGTGAAGAATTAACCTCATTGAGAGAGAAGCCAAATGGAAGGAAGTTCCAGACGTTTAGGTGCCATCACTGAGAAGACTCTGTCTTGAGCAACCACACAGTACATATATGTCTGGGCCAGTGATGCTCTGTATTCTTGGTGCTTGGGGGGGGGGGCAACAGTGGGAGGGCTTTTAGTGTTCTGGCCCCACTGCTGGACCTCCTGATGGCACCTGGTATTTCTGGCCACCGTGTGACACAGAGTGTTGGACTGGCTGGGCCATTGGCCTGATCCAACATGGCTCCTCTTATCTTCCTTTATTTGGCAGTGGGCAGTGGGCAGTGAGCAGATCAGGATAGTTCATAGGGCAGGAGGCGGTCATCGAGACAGCCAGTTGGTCAATCTGACAAGGGTAAAAACGGGTGCCGGGTTGTGTGCTGTCCATCCTGACTCCTGAGCTAAAGTCGGCCCTAGGAAGCTGTGCCGCAGTTCCGGCAACAGTCCCTTGCCAAGGAATATTTGGCCAAATAAATACTTTGCAGCGGTTGCAGAAGATGTTCAGTCTTTGGGGACTTTAGAAGGAAGAATCAGAGCACAGAAGAATTGTACGAAAGGGGAGCAACCACCCTTGAAGAATACATTCCCCACTTGGTGGAGGGCAGTTCTCCTGATTAAAAGGGTTCTGGTAGGACCCAAAGCAAAGGATGAGATGGTTCGACAGTGTCATAGATGCAACGAACATGAAGTTGAGCAAATGTCAGAGGACGGCGGAAGACCAGAAGGCCTGGCGTGGATCTGGTCCATGGGGTCGCAAAGAGTCGGACTCGACTTTGCGACTGAACAACAACAACAAGGACCCAAAGAGTGGCCCTTTGTAGGACTCAGACCATTTAAGCATGAAAAGAACCTGTGACAGCAAAAGTGGCTTCACAGAGATCGGTGGCAGGAACTTCAAGCAGCTGAAGGTGCTGCCTGAGCATGTAAAGTAGGGGCTGAACATATCCAGGGTCGAAAGGAGACCCACCTGAACCCCGGAAATAGCCGTCATCTTTAGATCGGGTTAGAATTTTATTATTATTGTTTATGGATTGGATTGTTTTTAAATGTTTTTAATTATTCTATGTATTGAATTCATATGTTGTGACCCATGCTCCCTCTAAGCTGTGGAGCCTTGTGAGCAAAAATTCTACTTTGTGAGCTGCTGGGCAAGCAATTTGGCTACTGCATAAATTAGTTTGCCCTGGAGCCCTCCTTCCTGAGCTGAGACAAAAATCTGTGAGCTGGAGGCTAAAAAGCTGTGAGCTAGCTCACACGAACTCAGCTTAGAGGGAACGCTGGTTGTGACCTGCCCTCAGCTTGCTTGCGGGGGAGGGCGGGATAGAAATCAAATCAATAAATAAATACATTTGTCCATGTATTTAAACCCGTTGGTATAACTGGTGGACAGTCATAACCTTGCAGATCTGGAGGCCGCCCCTCAAAGGCCATGAGGTCACCGAAAAAAAGCTCTATGCGACCTTACAACAGTTTTTTTTTTGTTTCGTTCCAGCAGTTCTGACGCCGTTCCTATCTTTCTGTCAAATCCTCCAGCTGTTTTGTTTTCTGAGTATGAAGTTGGCCAAGTTTATGAGGTGAGACGTTCTTGTTGGGCAGAGAAGAGATTTCGCTTCTGAAGGCACGGCCCTCTTGCCCTGATTTTTTCAAATTTTATGTATGTCTTTTTTTGTTTTTTCCTTTGTTTCGGGGGTTTCCTACAAGTTCCTTTTTTCACGCTCGTATGTTTTGGATTTATCAGTAGCTTCAGTTCAGGGAGATATCTGAAAGACTTCAATAAAGTTGTATTGTTTGTTTTACTGACTGAAGCACAGTTCTCTTTCGGCTTTTCAACATTTCAACATTCACATTTTCCTCCCCTTGAGCCTTCCTGTTGCTTTGGGTTTTCTCCCTGTTCCACATGTGTTTTGTTCCCTCTAGTGGTCAGTTTGATATTACACTGCTATATTCCTGTCGTAAAAACCCACAGTTTAAATCTGCAGGGAGATATGCCAGACAGACAGCGGTGTAATATCAAATCAACCACTAGAGGGAGTAAAACATGCACGGAACGGGGGGGGGGGGAACCCTGAAGCAACAGGAACACACAAGGGAGGAAAATGAGAATGCAGAAACGCCTCTCTTTCAAAGCGCCTTTAGGGCCAAACTATGTGTTTAGGTTTTTGAAGAGTTAGGCCAAGGGCAGTGTTCCCTCTAAGCTGAGATAGTGTGAGCTAGCTCACAGCTTTTTAGCCTCCGGCTTACACATTTTTGTCTCAGCTCAGGAAGGAGGGCTCCAGAGCACACTAATTTATGCAGGAGCCAAATCGCTCGCTCACAACTTTAATGCCAGCAGCTCACAGAGTAGAATTTTTGCTCACAAGACTCCACAGCTTAGAGGGATCATTGGCCAAGGGTCTCCAGACCCAGCATGGGTTCCCTTCAGTCCCACAGCAGCTGCAGAGAATGGCTTCTGAAAAATAAAGGCGAGCCCAAATGGGCTGTGAACATCACTTCTGTGGAAGGAAGGACTCCTGCCTCCCCACCGAGCCGTTTTTACCATGCAGAAATAGTGCTGGATGAGTTACTTCCCTGTTTTTGCTGCTCTGCATGGAGTATTCCGTGCGCATGGAGCATCAAAAGCAGGAAATAACTCCTCCTCCCCCCAGAATTGTTTTGGTGCAGGAAAATGGCTGGGAGGGGAGGCAGAAGGCATTCCTCCTCCCGCAGTGGCGTTCCAGGTCCATTTGGGCTCTCCTTTATTCCTAAAAAGCCTTTTCCCACAGCTGCTATGTTGGATCCTGGGGACCTGGACCCCACACTTCAAAAACCCAACCACGTAGCTTGGCCCTTACAGGCAGACTGCAATGCAGATGGCTATTAGTTCCCCCCCCCCCGTTCCGTGCATGTTGTACTCCCTCTAGTGGCTGATTTGATATTACATCATCATATGCGTCTTGCTGCCGTGTTTCTCGACCTTTCCTTCTTTGTAGATGACAGTTGAGTTACAGAACATGACTTCCACGTCTCAGAATTTTAGAATCATCCCTCCGGCCACGGCCACCTTCGCCATTGGGCTGGGTGAGTTCCTTCTCGGTTCCAGGGAGGGCAGATTACTTGTTCGCTGATTTGACCCAGGGGCTGGATTCCATGCCTCCCGGAGGTAAGGCCCTCCCTCCGTGAGCGCTCCACGTCAGCCAGAAGAGCTAAGGAAAGCTGCCGCTTCCGGCTCAAGAACCTGACCGCAGACCTAACACCAGCTGACCTATTTGATGTAGATTTTATATCTATCTATCTATCTTGGGAGCTGCGGTGGCTCAAGTGGTTAAGACGCTGAACTGCAGGCTGTGGAAGGTCGGTAGTTCAGCAGTTCGAGACCCGAGTGTGCCGCATGACGGAGTGAGCTCCCGTCTCTAGTTCCCGCTCCTGCCAACCTAGCTGTTCGAAAGCAAGGAATTGCAAGTGGAGAAATAGGTACCAATTCAGTGGGAAGGTAACAGCGTTCCGTGCGCCTTGGTGTTTAGTCATGCCGGCCACATGACCACGGAAAACGTCTTCGGACAGCGCTGGCTCTTCAGCTTGGAAACGGAGATGAGCACCACAACCCTAGAGTCGGACTCGACTGGCTTTCGAGCAAGGGAACCTTTACCTTTACCTATTTATTTATTTATTTATCGCATTTATATCCCGCCCCATCCCATGACGGCGTCAGGGCGGCTCACGGCAGAGATAAAACAATAAATATACGATTAAAAACCAATTCAATAAAAACAGGATGGCAGCAAAAAATGACGTCAGTTCAGAGCAGTTAGTTGTCGTAGATTTTTCCGAGCTGCATGGCCGTGGCCTTGAAATTGTAGGACCTGCCGTTTCGCCAGCAGCTGAGACTGGCATCCTCAGAGGTATAATTTATTTATTCATTTGATTCCCCCCCCCCCCCCCCCCCCCCCCGGGGG